GTTCACCATTAATGGTGCCACTGACCTGCGTGAGTGTCATTTTAGTGATGATGGCGAGCATGATCTTCTCGCCCTTGGTGGGGTACGGGTTCTTCTTGTGCTCGTTGAGCCAAGCCTTCAGGGTCGTCGTAGCTTCTCTGGTGGCGTTCTTGCGCCGCGCGGCGTCCAGTCCCATGCCTGTGTAGCTGCACGCACAGACACTTTGTTATCAGTAAAGTTTTTCCAAAATTTTTTTCCATGTTAACAGCCTAGTTTTTAAGAGACAACTATATAACGTTAGTTATTTGAAAGAGTGCGTTGCAAAAAAAAAAAAAAAACATGAATCGCCCAGTACTTGAAACAATTTCAAAACAAAACGAGTAAGGTTGATTTGGCTAATCAAATCACCTAACAAATAAAACCTTCAATAGCTGAAAATATGGATTTAATAAAGATTATTATAGTAATGCTACGAGTTGGTAAAGTATAGGTTCTCACCCTGCAAAGGGGTAGCCGAAGGGGGAGTCGACAGGATAGTACATGGATGCGTAGGGCCAGGCTGGGGACATCGGGGCGCCTGCTAGCGTCTCCTTCAGCTCCAGGCTTGCCTGCAGCATCAAAACAGTAATATTTATATATTATAATGCTGTCTTGCTATATATACTGCTATTAGTAGAACATCAATCCTTCAATCCTAGGTTACGATTTATTTTATATGTGAACAAAACAAGGCAATAATGATAAGCATTCGTAACTGGGGTCGCCAGGAGACTGGATACACGATAATAATGAAACTCATTCTGATGATTATCATTTGTCCCATTTTTATCAAGTGGGCAAAACAAACTAAGCTAATAGGATTAAGAATAACATTATCTTGACGTTTCAATAATCATATAGTCAAACTCTAACACTTGTTTCAATTGTGAAACTTTTCACGTTGAAACTTACAAGAATGCGAGAATTTCACTCACACTTGGGGAGTAGAAGGCGGACTGCTCGCCCCCCAGTGCCTGTAGGGCGTAGGGGGGCGCGTCAGCGTAGGGGGAGGGCGCGTAGAGCCCCGCCAGGTGAGCGTGAGCGAGCGTTGGGGTTGTCAGAGTTGGGGGAGGTAGAGTAGGAGTTGGGGGAGCCAGCGTTGGGGCAGAGGGGGGAGGGGTGAGTTGCGCAGAAGACACGAGCGGAGTCATTGAGCCGAAGCTGCGCAGTGAGCAAAATGTATCGTAAATTAATACGTGAAAAGTAGGGAATTGTGATGGCAGAGAACGGAATAAAGTAAAAAGAAGCTTAACTAAATTGCGGAAAATTGATTTAAAATTTTCCAGGGTAAAATAGATTACTGAACACAAACAGTCCTTCAACAACAACAACTTTATTCATTAGGGATGTTATGATAATAATTTCGTCCTACTAAATTCTTACAATTAATAAACGTTATTCGCAGGAAAGCGAGGACATGAATAACATGGAAAAAGCCAGAGTATTTAAGCAGTTAGAGCTATAATTCGGTAACAGGAGAGGCGTGAATCTAGGACTTAGTCTTTTAACCAGCACCGGCATCATCATGAGCCTAGCGTACGTGAACAACTCGTCGAGCCGCAAATTCAATCAACACGGATACTTGAATGTATCATTCCAAGTGGCATGGGGATAACAGCATCAATTTCCTGGTCATAATTCGCTTGATTAGCGTGAATGTTGAATTTTCAACAAAAATCCTTGACGATTTTAAACTTTTGCATGGTACAGAGTAAACAAACATTGGTTTTATATAAGCCGTGCACCCAGTTCACCACAGAGTTGACAACTCTGCTCCGCTAAGAGCACATCGTTTGTTAGCAAAGTCGCTCAAGAGAAGAAGTATGTGGTCGCAGTTCTCCTATTGGATTTAAATGAATTCTTTGTAAATCCTTGGCAATCTTCGAAGTGTTGAGGCGAGTTCATCGTAGTGAGAAGGCATGTTGAACAGATTGTCAGCGCAGGCTATCGTAGAACAATTGCATGCCTGAGAACAAAGCTGGCCAACGATTTACAATTGTCTGCTCTAGATTTATGGCCGATCTAGATATAGGCGCAAGCCATTGGTGCATATGGGGAGATGCATCCATCACGTCGGCTCTCTAGCGGCCTAGTGGGGAGGGGGGAGAGAGTGTCGGGGTGTGGGGAGAGCTGGGGGAGTGAGACCAGGAGTTTATATGAGAGGAAAAGTGAATGGGAGAGAAGATTTAAAAATAAGAGGTTATGAAAGGAATACGGCGAGCGAAGAGCTGAGCTTATATGAAAGTGAAGTGTGTGAAATGAAAATGTGTGATATGAGGAGTAGAAGAAAAAAGTCGAAGCAACAAACAAGGAAAGTGGTGTAGCGCTTTCAAACAATTGCTGGTAATAAAATGAATGCTAATTAAATTAGTGTTCAAAACTTTTTTTCAGATCAAATGACAGCGGTTAAGTTTATTCAAAGCGGTTTCAATTCATAGATTTAATACCTCTCAAAAATTACGAAAATGCTCATTTTCAGCAGCTTCAACAGAATAATAAGGGACATGCAGGGCTTAAATTATTGAAGAACAACGTTGCAGGTCCGTGGCTGGTTAAATAATACAGGGTGACGTCATTGTGATCTTTGCATGTTCATTAGTGAAAAATTTCATTCTTAGAGCGAAGAACACTCAACAATTGGTACAATTGATTCAACTAGTATTCAAATAAACCTTAAATTTGAGTTCAATTACTTTCAGAGTTGTAAGCTAAGTCCAAAATCCAAACATATTAAACTAATGAATTTAGAAGAACCAAAACAATTAAAAACGAAACCAAATATAAACGACATTCGCACAAACCAAGGAATAGAAAAACAGGGTTTAAGTAAGCTTTTAGAAATACTTATACGTTGAAGTTTATCAGTTGTCTCACTGTTAAGAAATGACAATAGTAGATGATGCGTTCAAGAGTTTGATTACTGAATTACATATTAACTTGAAATTTCGTTAAGAATTTGGATACGGTTTTCACCGGCAGCGAATGTGACTTTGTCGGGGCCCGTTCGATATAAATACCTAAATGATATATAAATAAAGCAGTCAGTGGCCACCAGACATTTACTTATGATCGTGTCTTAATAATTATTGCCATTAAGAAGGATGAATAAAAACTGAATCAATGAACAAAAATAGGAATTTAAACCACTTATCAATGAATACAGAGAGAATAAATGAACAAAGCAAAACCGTGCGTTTTCATTAGGCCGACTAACTATTTTCACTAGTGATCGAAGCAAGTTCTAATATCGGAGACTTTCTGCACATACAAATACGAAAACACAAAAATTAGAACTAATGAAATAAATAAACTAACAAACGCAGAAATATAGCACAGATGACATATGATACATGAATAAATATAACTACAAATATGCACTTAAAGATCAATAAAACTTCACTTAAACACCATTGCACTGTCAACACTGAAAATAAAGACGACTAAAAGAACCATGTACCTCTGTGGTGGAATCGCACTAACGAATGACACGATATAACGGATTCCTACGCGAGGTCACGTCAGTGGTGACTAAAAACCTAAAATAGAAATTACTAATGGAAGTGGGGCTAAAACATGGAGTGAGAAGAAAAGCGGCTAAAATATGGAGTAAGGAGAGCGGCCTGGAAGTGGGGCTAAAACATCTAGTGAGAAGAAAAGTGGCCAGGAAGAGCGGATAAAACATGGAGTGAGAAGAAAAGCGGCTAAATTATGGAGTAAGGAGAGCGTCCTGGAAGAGCGGCTAAAACATGGAGTGAGAAGAAAAGCGGATAACACATGGAGTGAGAAGAAGAGCGGCCAGGAAGAGCGGCTAAAACAGTGAGAAGGAGAGCGGCCAGGAAGAGCGTCTAAAACATGGAGTGAGAAGGAGCCAATTGCGGAGCCCAGCGCCCTGGCTTCCTGGGAGAGTGGAAATGGTCGGAACAATGAGAGGTGGGGAGGGAGGAGCGAGAGGGACAATGGGAGTTGGGTGAGAGCTGGGGCGTGCGGTGATGGATGAGAGAGGAGGAGATGGCGGGAAGAGGAAGGAGTAAGTAGACGGAAGGTAAGAAGACGATCATAAGTTCAGCTGTATTACACGAAAAAGAACGCAAACAGTATCTGAGATTTGGGTCATTGCATTTTAATATATTTCAGCATAAAAGGGAAGTTTGGCTGTCAAGACTTTCTGACAGTAATTTTCAGAAATATTGTCGCGTCAATACATTTTTTATCATGCTTATAAGAAAAGTTTTTTTTCACGCCATGAAACATGGTTCTGACGGCTCAAAACTGCTGTGCAGTTGCAATAGCCTATAGTTGCAAATGGCTCTGATTCTAAGCTTGAGTTTTGTCCCAATCGGCGTTTTGTGCCGCGGTGCTTTCTTGGGAACACGGCTACCGAGAACGCATTTTTTCCGACTCTGCCTCGAGCCTGAAAAGCTCTCAAGGGAGCGCTACGCTGAGAAGAGATAAAGCTGTTCAGTGCTCACCGTTGTAGCTATAAAACATTAAGGCGCTTCAAAGGACCGCTTCAAACTCATGAGTCATAATGAAATGATGGCACTCGACTTAAAATGAGAAGAATCCGATGGAATTTTACGGAATTAGATTGCCGAGTGGTCAAAATTTCTAGTTGAATTTAAATGGCTAGAAGTTTTCAGGTTTATAACCATATTATTGCAAGTATTATTATAGAAGTTTGGCTCCTTCATCATATCTATATAAGTTCTACACTCCATTCGAGTTCTTAAATTTGTCCCAAGGAAGACATTTGTTTAAATATAATTCAATTTGCACCCATATATAGCCATACGAATAGACTCAATCTAAGTTTTATGACGTAAGAAAATATTTCATTCAGTAATCGACATAACATTTTAAGATATTAAAAGCAAGTGCTTCTACGCAATAACTGAAAATCTCCTTCTCTCAATAAAAAAAATACGCCGAATTCAAGCTCTTTCGAGAAGTCTGCATTTCTCGAGTACTCATAGTTCGTTCTTTTCTTTTGGTTTTGATAGAAGCTTGCAGTCTATATGAACAAATGCGATACAGACAAGCTCGGTAATCTGCGCTCGTCAGCCATATAATCAAAAGCGTCACCACACACGCAAACTTCTAAATTAATCCCGAGGTGATTAAACAATCCGCGAGGGGAGGAAACTTTAAAAAAAACTCCGTCAAACCCCTGGACGTATCTGGGTTTTCGTTAACGCGTTCATAATTAGCAACGATAATTACAAATTAAGTAAAATGCTCATATATATTGAATCAACATTGGGTATTCTGACATTCGGGATGAGAGATGTTATGGGAGATAAATCATGCAAAGATTTACGAGGTTAATAACTTGAAAAAAGTGAATGCCCGTAGAATATTCAGCACGATTAGAGTATATAATTATCTACTGACAACCTCTAAATTTTTTCTCTCTTGCCAAAGAGAGAGAGAAAAAAAAGAGTTGAAAAGAATCACTTCCATGATAAGATAATTTTTAAAATGCTTTTTTGATACGAACTGGTTACTAAAGACTAACTTTAGTCAACTCCAATTGAAATTATTGTAATTGATTTAATTTAACCTTGTTAGGATGAAAACAGCAACAAAATTGAGACATTGATATTACACAAGCCATTTTTTATTTATACCTTTTGCAAATTTTTAATTTAATGGTCTCTGGAAAAAGATACACTTTTTTCAAAGAATAAAAGTCACGTGGCGGGATAGAATTCAAAACTCTTTCAAATAGAGTTGATGTCACATCGATTTCCTGTTATTTTTTGAGCCGTTTTTCCGTATACATGAGCGCGAAATGTGCGTTTCTTAATATTTAATATGAAATATATTATAGAAATCGGAGCGACTGCGCTAGGGGCGTATAAAGCTCGGGACGTACATTGCAATGCGCGCTGTGCGTCTCAATTGCCGCTACATTGCGCGCCGCCTCGAGGCCCGCGCTGCCGTCTTGGCCTTATAAATATTATAAGGCCTGAGCCGGCCGAACCTCGGCCAACCCTTACCCGCGTCTATAGGCCTAACTGCTTGAAATTTTATTGTGGAATTACGTTTATAGGATGAGCTACTCCTACCTACCCGAATTTATTAAAAACCTTAGGCCTTAATTTCGTTAGTACATTTAACGAAAATCAAATTTATAATTTTCTCGTAATCGATAATTTCTAAGAGGAGCGTAATTGCATATTTTTTCAAATATAGCAGGAGAATAATTTGTGAATCCGTTTGTGATATTTTTTACATGTGATTCAAGAACAAATCAATGGCATGTTCTAATTGACGGCCAATAAACGGAGTTGATTGCTGGCCACAGAATCTCGAGATTGACTCTATGCAAGCGTAGGTACAACACGTGGGAAAAAAACACAATAAATAGAAGCATTAGAATTTAGTAAATATATCACTCTTTCATGATCTCTATAGGATTGGTCATCTCCTTGTAACTTGATCAGTTCGTTAACCAAGACACACCAAATAATACAATCTACTAATTAAACCATTAAAGTATAGTTCAATATCAAAGTTTTATTTCATAAAATGAATAAAAAATGCCCCAGCCGCAGCGGCGTGGTCTCACGATGCCACCCTAGATAGCGTCTCGCTTATCAATAAAGCAGCGCTTAATGACGACTTCCTCCCGCGCCACTCGATGCGCAACCACAGCTGCTTAGCCTAACTGCCAACTCTCTTCTCCATCAAATCCACACCGATTGAATTACCATGTAAATTAGATAAAGGGAAGCCGGACACCCTCCTAGACAATTTGGTGTCTATAGCCCCGACTCGTCCCCTCTCTTCTTCGGCCGCCAAAAAAGAAGAAAAAGTCTCTTTTATCGGCAACCTCTGCAAACTCGGCCCGAGTTGAGATGAGATCCCCAAGGTTTTATTCTGGGTCTGAGTGGAGCGGGTCGCAGGCTTCATCAAGTCTGCTTCTTATTCGCGACCGCTTCTTGACGGTTCTTCTGTCGATATTAAATTCGTTAAAATTTCATCGATGTTATACACTGAAGATTATAAATTATTGTTTTTTTATTGAAATTTTCTCGATATTTCTACAAATTTAAGAAGCCATGCATGAGCATCGAAAAGCGTCAATGACGATGTTACAAATTTAAAAATTTACCTCCTTTCTAGAGACCTATTTAATTTTCCAAGTTTATTTAGGTTAGATGAATTATGAAATTGTCACGTCCTGGATTTTTTGTGCATCTGGTGAAGAAAAAATTTATGCACTGAAGCTTCAAGGGATTCGGTTAAATATTTTTGCATTTTTAATTTTTTAGCATAGCTATTTAAACCAAAATTGCGATAACAATTTTTAGCATTTTCAGCTATCGATTAAAATGGCTTTTGTAATTACTGAGCATTATCTTTACTTCAAACTTCGAGATCGATTACACTAAAATTTCAAAATCATTAGAGTACACAATCTGAAGTCAGCTCAATTGTAGGTTTTTCTGCAGTGGGCTAATCTAGCTGCATGCATGGAAGATTAACTATAATAATATTAGTTTATATGAGAGTACAATCCAAACGCATTGCGGTTAAGCAAATATGCAAGATGAAACAACTTTTTTCAACTTGTTCGTATTAGAAACGTTAGCAACTGAATTTAGCTCTGATAATTGAGAAGGAGCTATCACCCTCACTTACATTAAATGGCGACTTTGGTGCGTTCATGATCTTAAAAAGTGAAAACTGAGAAATCGCTAAAAAATTTTGTGAACGAGTTAATAATTTGGTGTCGAGAATGCTATGTGTTCACGTGAAATCTGTAATCTAAAATATTCTCTCATTAAAGTAATCAGCCTAGTGCAAACCAATGAAACTCATTAAGATGGAGGCTCTTATTTGATATTTGTTTCACGAAGTCTTCCATTTTCCGTCTTGATAAAACAAAGAAAAAAAAAGTTATATTTAAAGAGTCCAGAAATTATCGAATTTGGGTAAAATTTTTGCTTCAAATCTAAGCCACGTGCAATAATCTCAAATCAAAACGTGGGTTAGAAATCACGGAGAACACATTTTAGGTTTTCAGCAATTTAAAAAATGTCAATTTTTCATGACATCGGATTATGCACTGAATAATATATTTTTGCCTAATGTAACCAAAATTAAATAAATTCTT